GCATTGACCTGTCATGTACTTCCAAATTAAGAATCAGCATGCATCCACTTGGAAGTCACCATGACACATGAGGGGATAACAGTCATATTCCAAATTTCCAAAGAAGACATTATCTAAAGACACACTCCAACAAAATTACTTTGTTATACAATACATGCAAACTGCAGTGAAATTTCTTCCTAGACATTAGCCCAGGGCATGATCACATCTCAAACAAAAATCAAGAACATATGAAGAGAACACTTCCTAATTCTTTCTGTGAAGCTAGAATTATCCTACTAACAGAGTAGACAAATACATGACACAAAAGAAAACTAGAGAAAAGTATCTTTCACAAGCATAAAAATCCTCAATGAAATAGTGACAAGTAGAATTCAATACTATACTATACAAAAAGAACCATCAACCACAACTGTCTGTCCTTTACTCTAAGGTTATGGGGCTGGTTCAACATTCCAAAGCCATATCAAAATAATGAGGGTAAAGAAAAAAAAAAATCTTAATATCAGTAGATACAGAAAATTATACTACAAATTCTAAGAAGCATTCAGAAATACAAAACCATCCTCAACTTGATAAAAACATGTAAAAAATCCTATAGCTTTGTATAATAATTGATGGTAAGAGCTAGATGCCTTCTGCTTATAATCAAGAGCAAGGCAAGGAATCAATCTTTACCATTTTTAATCAATATGGTACTGAAAGCCAGCTATTGCAATTAGAAAAGAAAGGGGAAATAAAATACATGTTGTTCGTGGTAGAAGGAATAAGCTAATGTCTTTTCCAGAATAAGTGTGTTTATGTAAAAATCCTAAAGAATAACAAAAACTCCTTGAGTGACTGAATAAAGATAGCAAGTTTGCGAGATATAAAAGTCAACGATTTACTATATGTTAGCAATGAACAACTGGAATTTGAAATTAAAAGCACAATATGATTTATATTACCACTCCCAAAAGATAAAATACTGGGTGAAAATGTAACAAGGTATGTACAGGATCTATATATGGGAAACAAAAAAAGGTGAATGAATTAAAAAAAAATCTTAATAAATGGAGAAATCATTTATATTCATGATCAAAAAGACTTATCTAAATGTCAATTCTTCCCAACTTTATCTATATTTATGTTATATATGAATTCATATATATATATATACATTGCATATATATGAATATATGATTTATGTCAACCCAATATAAATCAAAAGTCTCATAAGTTATTTTGTAGACATCAAGTTGCAGTTATTAAGACAACAATCAAACTGATCAATGTAATATTAAACAGAGGGCAGAAATAGGATCATAAGTACATAGTTAACTAATCTTTTGTAAAAGAACAAAGTAATTCAATACAGAAATGATTGTCTTTTCAATTGACACCAAATAATTGAACATCTACATGCAAACATGGCAACTGACACCAAATAATTGAACATCTACATGCAAACAAAATGAACTAGACACACAACTTTTTATAAAATTAACTCATAACAGATCACAGGCTGACACCGAAAAAGGCCAAACTTCTTGAGGCATTAAAATAGAAAATCTAAATGACAACAGAATTGGAATAGATAATGTGTATTTAAAAAGCATAATATATGCAAGACAAAACTGATATATAGGACTTTAGTAAAAGTTAAAAATACTATTCTTTATAAGACAATGTTAAAGAGAATTAGAACACAGCTTAAGAAAAAGTACTAGCAAAGTGCTTATCTGATAAGGGCTTGTAACAAAATATACAGAGAACCTTTAAAACTCAAGAAAAGGAAAACAAATGACTCAATGAAAGGGGAAAAATCTAAACACCGAAGATTTCCAAATGACAAATAAGTTTTTGAAAAGGGCTATGAGAAAAAGCTGACCACTGCTTATTATTAAATAATTATATATTTAAAATGAGATACCATTATAAATCAATTTGATTGGATAAAATAAAAAATCCTGACAATATCAAATGTTGGTGAGGATGTAGAGCATAGGCACTTTGGAAGACAGATGCAGTTTTTTACAATGCCTTGCATATCTTACTATATATTTCGGCAATCACATTCCTAGATATTCATACAGCTGAATTTAAAAATTACATTTATACCAAAACCACTGATATTTATAGATGTTTCATTCATAATAATCAAAAACTAGAAGGAATTAGGATGTCCTTTGATAAGTGAGTGGTTAAAAAAATTGTGGAACATTCTTAACAAGAGATATTATTTAGTGCTACAAAGATATGAGCTATCAAATAATGAACAGATATGAAAGAAACATACATGCACATTGTTAAGAGAAAAAAGCCAGCTACTACTGCATGATTCCAGCTGTTACAGGGCAACCCATTGGGTAGCCTGACTTTGGGTTCTCACCCATGCACTTAAAATTCAAATGCAAACACACATACAAAAAGGTTAATAATGGGTTTATTTACAAGGGAAATGAATAACTCAGGGAAAGAGAGAGAGAGAGAGATAAGTTAATTAATGTGTCCTACCAGTTCTGCTGACCAAGAGCACACTGAAAAGCTGGTGAAAGGCCAAGAGACAAGCCACAAGCCATGAGGCCAAGGGACCCCAGAAGCCCACATGTCCGGTTTTATATCCAGACCTGGCTGCTTAGCTCCACCCTCTAGTCTCAGCTTGCTTCTTCGGTACTGATGGGATTTGTAGTTCCAGTATCTGGGGTGGGGATGGAGCCCATGAAACCTTATCTGTAGAGTTCATTCATGGCATCTTTTTTCCCTTACACAATTACATGACATTCAAAAAAAAAAGGCCAAACTATAGACAGTAAAAAGGATCAGTCATTTCCAGGGACTCTGGGGAAAAAGGGAGGGATGAATAGATGAAGTATCCAGATCATGCTTTTAATAACATTTCCAACTAAAACGACGAGAACTCCCAAGAGAAATAGCCAATGTTAGGATTGAGCTAAGTAATACACAAGATAAATCTGCAGCAATTTGTAGTGTTCAAGAAAATTACCCACAGCCACAGTGATATGTCAAAGTGATACACATGGCAATGGAAAGAGCTTTCTAGTTGTAAGGCTGGTACAATTAGAGAAACTAAATAAATTAGAACTAGATTAAAATTCAAACTATAAAATAAACATGCACTCTCCCATACAGATAAATTAATTAATTTAATTAGTAAACAGAGAAAAAGAGATCAATCTTCCATGAAGAAGAATGTCAAGTAAATAAGTAGCTATTCTATCCTAAAGGAGGGAAGCACAAACTCCCTGCTCCTTTAATGTAGGTTGCACAAGCACCTTTCTTCCAAAGGGTACCGTATGGGAAGGGCACAGGAAGTAACTAGCATGGAGAAGCTGGACTAACACAGCAGGCAGGTAATCGGGTAAGCACTCACACACCCTTGACAAGATGTGACCGAAATGGTACATTTACACAATGGGGCTTCACCCCAAAAATAAAGCCTCAACTAAGAGAAAACCATCAGACAAATTCTAGGAGAGGAGTATTCAACAACATACCTATACGATATTCCTCAAAAGTTTCAAATTAGCAAAACAAGGACAATCTGTGAAATTATCACAGTCCAAAGGAGGCCAAGGAGACATGACAATTCAGTGTAATGAACTGCCCTAGATGGCATCCAAGAACAGGAAAAGTACACTTGGTAAAAACCAAAGACATGTGAATGAATGATGAATTAATAACGTTATCACAATAAAAAAAGGCAAAAGAATTTTAACAGCATAAAGTTAAATGCAAACCAAAAGAAAATGTAAAAACAAAGATTAAAAAAATAGTTATTATATCAGAAAGGTATGATTTGGGGTGAATTTTATTTTCTTTTAATTTTTCTAGTTTTTCAAACAAGTTTTATATAATACTATATTATCAACCAAAATTCCATCATATTAAAAAAAAAAGTTGCCTGGGTTCCCCTCAAAACCCCATTTTTATCTCCATACAGATGGGAGCCAAAAAGACTTTGGCTGACTAGATTATCTCTAAAATTCCTTCCAACTGTAAGATCATGTGAGTTACATAAATTCTAACTAAAATCCATGTCCCAGCTATGCATCTGGTAGGAATCCAGAAATATTTAATTACCACATGACTCCCAAATATACTGGTTAACACACAATTTGTGCCAGATATACTTACAAATTACCAGTGTCCTAACAGCAGACTAGAAAATGAGCCCAACTCGGGGCCACGGAGCACAAGTGCAGAATATTTTTGGTGGGATTTTTTTTTTATGTTACTGTTCTTTGTTTTATATGTTCATCTGACTTTGAAATAGCTACATGTCTGTGTGTACAATGTGGTGTCCATGTAAGGATAGACATAGTTTAACAGGTACTGGGAAATATGTCAGTAATCCACACAACTACAATTTTATCAGTTGTTTTACAGTTTGCTTTGACTTTAAACTTAATTTGTGTGCACCTTCAGATGTTTGGCAAACAGTAAAGAGGTTAGAAAATGAAAGTTAAAAGAAAAGCATCTTGGAAGTTAAAAAAAAAAACTTCAGCATAGCTAACAAAGCTATAGAAATATTAATTTGTAAGTATGCAGTACGTCTAACCATTTTAAGCCTCAACTACACAAGAACTAGACCTATATAGGAAGGTAGCATAAGATATACTGGATAAAGGTAGTAAAATGCCACAGTTATAAAACGCCTTGGTGGGGATGGGTGGAATTGGACAGGAACAAATAAGACTAGATATTTAGCATGTAGGTGGACACTATTCTGGACTCTGCTGCCACAATCTATTCTGGTATCTTTAACTTAACTTGTGTGACAATAAGGAAGACATCAGAACACAAATTAATGACAAAAAAAAATGGGATAGACTTATTTAAATCTTTCCATACACTATCCATCCTCATGGCATTAGGTTTCCATTTTGCCCAATTTAATTTTGAGAGTATGAGTCAAAAAAAAAAAATAACAGAACTGGAGGTTAAGTCAAACTATTCAAATCAGGGCATGGCAACATTCTTCCTTTTGCAGGCTTTACCTTCTGGCTCATTCTTGATGAGCTCTTCCATCTTCCTCTGCTTCAAGGTGTCGACAACATCAGCTAAGCTGCCTTTGCGTCTCTCAGGTGTCCCCAGGGCTGTGCTAGACAAGGACTCGCCACTCTGCCGCCCACCTTCGTCTGCCTTCTGAGGTGAGGTAGATGAGTTGTGTGGGGCAAATGAAGACATAACTTTATTGCCATCAACTTCCTGAAAAACAAAGATTTTTTTTAATTCAGTAAATTATTAGATTGGTATTCAGTTGAAACATTAAAGTAAAAAAATGAAATATCATTCTGCAAGAGCAAATGGAATAAGGAAAATTCAAAAAAAAAGAGAATACATTAACTTTACAGGCTAGTACCAGAGTGAGTCAAAGATCAAATTTTTTTTTAAAGATTTATTTATGCACACAGAACTGGGGTACAGGCCAGAGGTGCAGGGGCAGTGAGAGGATCACCAGAGACAGAGTGGGGAGCAGAACAGGCAGATTGACGAAGTACACTGTTGAGGGGAGCAGCGAGCGGGTCAGGAGAGGTCTGCCTCGCCATGTGGTCACCTATGGGGCAGGGACCAAACTCATGCAGAAGTGGCTTTAGCTTCTTAGTGCTGTGCTTTCACTTGCTGCACCACCAGGGAGGGCCCACAAAGATCAAATCTTAAGAAAAAAATAGGGAGATTTTCTCCTTTAAACTGATTATAAATGGCAATATAGACTTAAACAGTCTATATTGATTAGATTTATTTTGAAAGCCTTAGATTTTCCTATGAATATTAAATGTAGCAGTCATCTGAATTAAACTTTGTCATAACATAATAGCCAAGCAAATGACATTATTTCAAGTAGTTGCCTTTTTATTGGTAAAGTTTATCAGTAAAACATGGTCCTCTTCCAGTTCACCGCCTATGCTTTCTAGAAAGCAACAATCGCACAGCTTATTTTGACATCAGCTAGAAATAGTACAAATTTATTCTTGCTTATGCTGAAGATACTTTCAATTTCATTTGCTACCTTAAGCACTGTTTTCTGTTAATAATCTTTGCTATTCTGCACTTTAAAACTCATTTCCTTTACAAAGTAAAGTTCCTTGAAATCTGTCTTTTCATAATTGTGTATATGCATGAAAAGAAGTGACTCCATAATTCTAAAATTTAAACATACTTTGGAGTTCTTTCTGTCATTATTTTCACCATAATGTCTAGCATAACTAGTTATTTATATAGTGTTTGGGGTATATTTGTATAGAACACATTAAATTGATTTTCCAGACATTCTCAAGTAGATGATATTCAAATAGAAAAATCAGTTTTCTTTTCAGTTTTATTGAATGATCTCTTACTTTCATAATTCTTTGAGTTTCCACTGAGCACAACAAATCTGTGTCCTAAGACCTCTAAGGAAATTAGTTTTAATGATATTTTTCAATTCTACAACATTATTTCCATTAAAAATTATTTTAGTGTGTGAAAATTTATTATTGAGGATAACCAATTACATCCATATTTGTATATTTCTTCTCTATTTAGACACACACATTGCATACTGATCCCAAAAAGAAACATTACAATGATTTGATATTTAATTTTTTTTTAAGATTTATTTATTTGTTCATACAGAACTGGGGTATAGGCCAGAGGCTCAGGGGTGGCGAGAGGCTTCACCAGAGACAGAGTGGGGAGCAGAACAGGCAGACTGACGAAGTACACTGCTGAGGGGAGCAGCGGGCGGGTCAGGAGAGGTCTGCCACGGCTTGTGGTCTCCTCCGGGGCAGGCGGGAATTGAACTCATGCGGAAGTGGCTTTAGATTCTCAGTGCTGTGCTTTAACCCGCTGTGCCACCAGGGAGGGCCTGATATTTAATGTTTTTAAAGCTAAGGCTTTACTAGCTTATAAATACACTAAAATATTTGATAAATGTCATTCTAAATTTTAAGAAAGACATCAATACAAACATAATCTGCTCAGTAGATTGTTAATGGGTATTAGTGTTTACAAGGATTTTTGCTATGGTATAAGCATGAATTTGTAAGTGTGAGCTAAGGCAATGTAGTGGAAAGCAAAAGGAAAATTTTGTGCAACAAAGCCTACACAATTTTGAGGCTAAATCCAAACTTGTTCAAATTTCTTACAAACATAGCATGTCTCCAACGATTATGATGTCTTGACTCACTAGTCACAGGCAATATTTTTATAGATGAATATTTGGTTGCAATTTATTTTTTTTGGACAAGGTCCTGCGGGGTAAGTAACAATATACTACTTCTAGTATTATGTATTCCAAACCCACCATAAATGTAAGCGATCTCTCTCTGCTGCTCGCTCTTTTTGTCTCTCACTCTGAAAGCAGCAATCACAAATTCAGTAAATCAAGGAATAGTTTACAAATGACAGTATTACACAGTGTTAGCTTCTGTTCATGTGCAAACCAGAAGAGCAAAATTTCTGTATTCACTTTGCCCAGATCTTTCTTCTCATACCTTTCCAGGATCAAAAGCAGAAATACCCCAATTTCAGCTTCCCTTTGAACATTCCTAGTTTACATGCTACTTTCACACTGTACAATGATAAACTTTACATGTAGGAACTGGGTCAGAAACTTTCTCTTGCCACAAATGAAAATGACATCTTCCCATGGCATCATCATCAGGAGAAAGGATGACACGCAAATCATATGCAACAACTCTCATGATTCCAGGAAATAAATAATACCCTGTTTTCATGTCTAATTTTCTATACCTTGCAGAGTGGAAGGGCCTATCTTAAAGAATTCAGCATTTCACAATCATTCTAAACTCAGCTGTGGCATCTGTATATGAATGAATTAATAAAGCATTAGTTCTATTTTAAGTAGGAATATTTATCTTATTATTATTTCACCTGTTTGACTATAGTCAGCCTCTGGCACTGCTAATCCCTTTAACAGTTTTGTGTTGCTAACAGATGTTTCAGTGAGGGAATCCATTGTTCATTTGCATGGTGAATAGTGTGCTAAGGAGTGCTGGCACAGTCTTTAGGCAAGAAGTCCTATCGTTTTCAGTTTCTTCCATGGGATTGCATTTATCAAACTGAAGGAGAGAGACCACATGTTCTCTTCCATTTGCTGACAGGTGAACATCGAAACAGTCTTTTATCAAATGCATCTGTGGTTCAGATCAGCAATATACATTTCCTCAAGTTTCATGAACTCTGAGGACAAGCTTCTGCACTTAGCAGTGTTTTATCACTTTTGAATTCTAATGTTAAAAGGGGATTCTGAACTTTTAGAAGGAAGTTGACATGTGTCCTTTGTTACTCTTGAACAAGCTTCACTTAATCCTGTCTCCTTTATAACCTTGACATAAAAGGAGCTCCCTAACATACTTAAACATCTTTACTCCCGGAAACGTCATTTTAAAAATGCATTCTTGTTAATTTTAAAGACAGTAATTCACTATGAACATTTTGAGAGAAGTTTATTTTGCTTTGAATATTCCAATGGTAGTTTAGGTAATGTGGCAGTAAGGAAGAAGAGATTACATGTGACATCCGTATATAAATACACACATATACACACATGCCCTTATATTGGTAACATGACAGCTCACTGACTTTAAGTTTCAAGAAATACATTATTGAGCATATTTTCCAGTACATTAAAATTAAATTCATATAGGGTAGTAAAAGCATTACACTCAATAGTCAATCTATCAGACAATAATTGCTAACAATAACAGCCAGTATTTACTGAATATTTACTTTGTGCCAGGCACTATTTAAAGTGCTTTACCTAAAGTTTACCTAAAGTGCTTTAGACTGGTAAATTCCTGAGCTCCTATGACTAATAAAGGGTAGACTTGATTATCAACCCCAATCTAGAGGGTTCCAGTGTCCATCTTTTCAACTATGATGTTAAACTACCTCTCTCTTTAAATAAAGTAAACCCCCTACTTCTATCAATAGTAGAGGTGAACAAGATACATTTCTTAATAATCAACCACAGGAATGAGAGGTTGTCAGCACAATATGTTCAACTCTTTTAGAAATGTTTTAAAGTTTATTAATATAACTTTATTACAGGGATACAAAACTAAAACTCCTTTACTCCAACTGTCTACTGGTTTAATGTCATATTAAAAAATGAACTTAGGCTTTAAATTATTTAAAAGAGAAAAACAGATTTGGTTTTTACCTAGATTTGGTTTTTACATAGATTTACCATAAGTGGTAAATCAAAGTAACTGTGCTTAGTTAGAGTTCTTGACTTTTTTTTTAGTTATTTTTATTAAATGAGTTGGTATCTCTAGCAAACCCTTTTGGTATAATAGTTTTGAACTTAGAAAATAAAAGTATAGCAGAATTGGACTGTCTACATTCTCATTATTGCAAGGTTATTAATTTTGGTACTGCTTCGAGAGAACATAAAATGAGTACTAGATACAAGGAAAAGTACTCTTGTGTAGAACAAATTTCCACATGGTCATGTTCATCTTCCACTAATGTTTATGTTCTTATAAATATCATCAGACTAAGGCAAACAAAACTCTGTAAATATCTTAAAAGCTATATATTTGGTTAATCCTTAATTTTTTAAAAACTTGGATAAAAATATTTTCAAATGTTTATTTTGAAACCAAATTATAGTATTTGTAATCACTGTCAAATTGGGAGATGTCAGATTTAATAATAGGAAAATCCATGATCATAGTCTAAAAATATCATGTTTTAAGCTGTCTTGGTTAAGACAATTTTTCATAATAGTTCTGCATTATACCCTATATCAGTATGAATTACCTTTCGGATTACACAGCTCTTCATGGCAACAAGGTATACACGTAATACATGTAAATGTTCTCCTAGACACACATGAACATGCATATGTGTAGATAATTCACTCATTAAATTGTCCACAGAATTTTGCATATAATTTTAGAGAGGCAATGTTCTGTTCTCCTAGTTTTAACTAAATCATAATTGCTCCATGAAATCTCCTAGCTTATCATGAGGGAAATGCAAACCAAAACCACAATAAATACATATATGTTCTTTCAAATTAGTGTTTTTGTATTATTTTGGATAAATATGAAGCAGTGGAATTTTTGAAATATATATCTACTTTTATTATTTTGAGGAAATGTCACACTGTTTTTCATCGGGGCTGAACAAGTGTACACTTCTCCCAACAGTGTATGAGATCCCTTTCCTGCCACACCCCTGCTGGCACTTGATGTACT